GGCAGAGACGGGACTGGAGTCCCAGCTTCCCAACCCCCCCCCCCTGCCCTCCAGAAGTCAGTGCTGGTAGTGGCCACCTCCCACAGCGCAGTGCGCCTGACAGACACCCAGCCTGGGGCTGCAAGTCCCGAAAAGCACTGCTTCCCGCTGCTTGAACACTCCAGGCAGAGAAGCTGGGCCTCAGAAGGGAGTAAGGTGCACAGAACAACCCGCTTAGCCTTAGTTTTCTGCAGTTGGCCAGAACCTCTGGGGTCAGAGCTGAGAAAACAGTGCTAAGCCATTACACCTGTATCTCTAACCTGGGCCACAGCCCTGAGAGGAATCGTGTCCACTTCACGGGCGAGGGGACCAAGGAGACTCAGGAGGAGCGTTAGCCCGAGGCCACCCAGGCAGCAAAGCGACCGAAGCAGGACTTGGACCCCAGCCTGCGAGATGCCCGAGGCCGTGCCCGCCGTCCACGCTCGCTGGCTCGCTCTGAGCACCCACTAGGCCCTCAAGGCCACAGAGCCAGGAGCACAGTCTCCTGGGCCTCCACCAGTTGGCTGGTTTGGGCCTCAGGGGATCAACTTCGCAGGGTGCAGGGCGGGCCCGGCCCCACCAACGGTTCTGCACTGTCTTTCTTTGGCAGAAACAGCCGGGTCTGGAGGCAGATGAAGAGGTGGAAGGACAGGACCTTGGTGAGGAAGAAGGCGACGGTGCCCAGGCTCCGACCTAGAAGGGGCAGGCCAGCCTTGGCCACAGCCCCTCTCGCGCCGCACCTCCGTCTCCCATCCCCTGGCACCGCCCTGGCTTTGCACGTGGGCGCTGAGCTCAGGAGGCAGGGAGGGAGGGAGGGCTGGGGGAGCAGAGGGGTCCTGACCCGACCCGAAGCCCCACCAGGTGCCGGCCCCCACTACTCACTGAGCCCAGTCCCAGGGGACCTCTTGGAGGGAGGGAAGGGGCAGGGCTCGTGCCCGAGCTGGGTACCCGTCGTCTCAGCCGCCCAAGCACACCCCGAGGGGCTCCACACTGCCTTTCAGCCTGGCCCTGCCTCTTCCCGTGGGTTCTGCTTCCCCGGGGTTTTTCCCGGCGATCATTTTCCCTCAAAGCTTGCAGAGCCTCTGACGGGCTGGCCTCAGCCTCAGAAAGACCTGTGGGCGGGGAGAGGGGCTTCTCCTCCCTTCCTGACCCTCCCCTCCACACACAGCTCAGAAAGGCGGTCTGTCCACTTCTAAAATGTCTCTGAGCACCGCCCCCCCCCAACTCTGAGGGCAGATGGACGAATGAGTTTGCTCCTTCCTGTACGCCTGTGAGCTTTCTACTGGCTTAATTCTTAGATTAAATTAACGATAATAGTGCTATAACAGTGCTTATTGGATACCCTGTGCCGAGCGCTTTCCGTGTTAACCTCGTCCAATTCTTTTTATAAAATCCCTAGAAGGGTCTGCACTCTGATGACCCTTACTCTGCAGAGGAACAGTCTGATTCCGGGGCAAGCGTGGGGACTTGCCTGGGTCACAGAGCTAGCGCAGGGCAGAGCAGGGACAGGAATCCGGACGGCTCAGTCCCCACCCTGCACAGCCATCGATGGTAAGCCAGGCACTTGCAGGACCCACTGGGGGCTCCAGGAAAGGCAGTGCTCTGGAACCTTTAGGGACCATTGCCGGAAACGTCTGTAGGCAGGAGGGCACCTGCGAAGTCCCTCGACCACCGTTCCTTCTGTGCGTGTTGGATGGTCCTAACAGGGACCCAAAGTCCCCTTTTAAAAATTGCCTGTGTTAAGAATCTTATCGGGGCGGGGAGGGCGCCTGGGTGGCTCCGATAGGTTGAAGAATGGAAGCTTGTCCGGTCATAATCTCATGATTTTGGGTTCAAACCTACGTCAGGCTCTGTGCTGATGCTCAGAGCCTTGTCCCTGAGCCTGGAGCCTGCTTCGGATTCTGTGTCTCCCTCCTTCTCTCTCTCTCTCTCTCTCTGTCCTCCCCTGATTTGTGCTGTCTCTCTCTCTCAAAAAAAAAAAAAAAAAAGAAAATTAAGGAAAAAGAAAGGAAAAGAATCTTATTGGGGAGGGGCCAGCTATCCTTTGTGACTAAAGGAAAACCATGAAGTTGCCACTGTGGCTAGACTGATAAAATAATCATCGAGGAACATATTTATTGGTGCTTGACCTGCACAAGAGCCCCAGAGGGAGTGCTGTCCCCATCCTCGATCCCCAAGTCACTGATGTGCCACATGAGACAGAGAGAGAGGGAGGGATGCCTGAGTCCCAGGAAGTGGGGTGAGCCGGCCATGTTTCTGCTCCTTGCCCAGCACTGACCTCTGAGCAGAGGGTGCCCACACATCACGTACCTCATTCTGTACAGTCCTGTGATAGGTGCCTCTCTGTGTGGGGACATGGGGAGCCCCGGAGCTGTCTGTAGAGCAGTGGTTTCAGCTGGGGGAGATTTTGCCCCCAATGAGACATTGGGCAATGTCTGGGCACATTTTGGATTGACGTGAGTGGTTGGGGGTGCTCCTGGCATCCAGAGGGTAGACGCCAGGCATGCTTCCCAACATCCTACAGTGCACAGGACAGGCCTCACGACAAAGAGCGGTCCGGCCCAAATGTCAATAGTGCCGAGTTTGAGAAAAAAAAACCTATACAAATGAAATGCCCCAGGAGGAAGTCACAGCTCCCTGTTGCATCAACCCCCGGGCACACTGACGGACCTCTTGATGAGTGACTGGGACCATCAGCTCCAAGGGAGAACATTCTTTTGCTCTAGTACGATTTGGGCCTTTGATGTGGGCTTGCAAAGGTCCTGCTGGGACCTGGTGTGGGTACAGAGAGCGCCCCCAGGCAGGGATGGGGAGTGGGCGTGGCAGAGGGGAGGAGGGCTCCCGACATCGCTGTGGGCAAAGGGCAGTGAGAGTCCCGTGGATGTGATGCCCAGCACTGCCCGGCCTTACAGCCATGACCTTCACCTCCTCATAAACCAGCCTCCTCTGTTGTTCAGTCTCTAACAAGTGGAGCAAAACAAAACCACGAAGCATCACTGGAAAACCAGAAGCTGCTGCAAAAACCGACCCCGCCGTGGACGCAGAATGTGAAATGTAGATAGCGGGGCCTGGGTACAGGAGTACATCTGAGCAGGGTCCAAAAGTGGCAGAAGCAGCGGCTGGACCCCAGGGACCACAGGACAGGTCCCCCTGTCAGCGCACACCTGTAGGAGAATGTCGTTCCCCTGGTTCTGTTCTGTCCAGCTGACTTGACTGATCGCTTCATCGGCCACTTGCTGATGAAACCAGCCTGTGGCTACAACAGCCCAGGGGGGTCACTGTCCCACATTCTCTTCTGGCTACTGTGGGGTACTGTTGGCCCCCTGGCCCTTTGTTAGAGGCCCCAGGGCCAGACCACCACCCCTTTAGCTCTGGGAGCCAGAGACCCAGGAGCCAGCACCTCTGAGTGCTAAGGGCCTGCGGGATGGAAACGGAACGATGGACAGAGGCCGTGTTTTATGGCGCTTCCGGGAAGGCGGAGCGGGCTGGGCTCTGAAGTGTGCACTCAGCTCAGGCACTTGCCCTCAGCTCAGCCCCGTGCCAGCCTCTGACCACGGAGCAGCGTGCAAGCCGGACACGGACTCTGCTGTCCTGGAGCTTGCACGCTAATGGGAGAGACAAGAGCTGACAAATGCACACAGAATGACAGTTGCACAAAGTGACATCTTACGGGAAGTACAGAGGGCTCGGAGAGGGGTCCTAGCGGGAAGGGCTTCTGAAGAGGAAAATCCTCCGTGGATGTCCTGTTTCCTAGTGGCTCATTCATTTCCACGCACCGCCCCCCCCCCCAAGTTATAAGTAGCCAC